GTGTGTGTGTGTGTGTGTGTGCATGTTTCGAGTGTATGACGTACTGACGGTCTGTTCAAATAAACTCGCCGGACCCTTATGCTACCTCCGAGTGTTCATTAAAAATACCACGCCGTTTGTGTTCGCTGCTTCTGTATGGAATATGAGTATGCGTTATCATTTCACACCACTGAAATCCTTCCTTCCGGTTTTTAAGTCCGTGTCTCCGCTGCTGGTCGAGTGGAGTAGATTGAGGTCGGACCTGTGTCGGACAGGGGGGCGTGGCTTTTTGGGGCCACCAGAGGGGGGCGTGTCATCAGGGAGGGGGCGGGATCTGCACCCCGAGCAGCTCGTAAGCGAAAATGTTCCAGAAGATGGCGAAGAGGAGGAAGGTGATGAAGGAGAAGATGAGGACCCACCAGGAGCACTGTTTATGCAGAGATTCCTCATAGCTCCGCAAGATCAGCAGCCCCATGCTGATGCCCACCACTGCGCCCGACAGATGAGCCATGAAACTGGGCTGCGGTCCGGAGGAGGGGAGGGGCGGGGAGAAACGCAGCCATACGGCACGGCCCACCTCTGAACTCACTGCCAAAGACGGAGAAAGAGATTGGCAGATGTTTGGAATAGCATACTACTCTACTACTTATACTACTTCTGGAATATGTCATTTTTTGTATGCATGGAATACTAGATAAAAAGTCCATTGCGAAAGATGCAATGTGTTCCATTTTTTAAATATCGGCAATTGTTTTTTATTAAAAATGTAATTAGATTTCTTTATTTAATTGAAAAAATATTAACATTTCTAACATTTAATTAGATCAGTTTAAAAATGCAAAACAACCATGTTTATTTTTCAGATAAATGGAGACAAACACATTGAATTAAAAATTGATGAGGTTGAGTAATATTGTAGCATTTGAAATCATTGCATATTGCACATATAATACTATTTTTTTTAAAGTATGCAGTATCTAGTATATACTCAGTCTACTATATTCTAGTCTTGCATTCTGAATATAGCAAATGAAAAAACACAATAGTACACAGTAGCGTGCTAGTATGCTATTGTGAATTCAGCCACAGCCTATTTACTAAAGTATGAGAATGGCAATAACTAGTTACTTACTGCAAACAAGTGCAAGAATCATCCGTAGCAATTTGTATGGACACTTCATACCGGCCCAGTTCTGAAACACAAACATATGCATGTTAAAAGGCATAGTGAAGACTTTTACAAAGTCAGCATAATGAAAATCCACTCAATCTATTTTGTAAATACATCTTATTGATCTTACTGTATTCATCCATGCATGCATTTTGTTTTTGTTTTTTTTTACATTGAAATGTTGAATAAAAAGTATAAATTAAGCAAATCTGGAGATTATGGAAAATTTAAATAAATGTCTGGAGATTTATGCTGGACTTCTGATTTAAAAGCTAAAATGTAAAGCTAATGTGAAATGCCATCAGTGTTGTTATTGTTAACTAAAACTAAAAAGATAACTGATATAAAGTTATCTAAAAAGATAAAAAATATTAAATGAAACGTACGCTTAGATCTAAAAGTTAGTTTAGGCAGAAGTGCTAAAATTACTCATTTAAACAAAAATAAATTAAAGCTGAATAGAAATGTTAATAAAAACCGGCCCAGTTCTGAAACACAAACATATGCATGTTAAAAGGCATAATGAAGACTTTTACAAAGTCAGCATAATGAAAATCCACTCAATCTATTTTGTAAATACATCTTATTGATCTTACTGTATTCATCCATGCATGTATTTTGTTTTAGTTTTTTTTTACATTGAAATGTTTAATAAAAAGTATAAATTAAGCAAATCTGGAGATTCTGGAAAATTAAAATAAATGTCTGGAGATTTATGCTGGACTTCTGATTTAAAAGCTAAAATGTAAAGCTAATGTGAAATGCCATCAGTGTTGTTATTGTTAACTAAAACTAAAAAGATAACTGATATAAAGTTATCTAAAAAGATAAGATCTAAAATAAAATAAAAAATATTAAATGAAACGTACGCTTAGATCTAAAAGTTAGTTTAGGCAGAAGTGCTCAAATTACTAAAATTTAAACAAAAATAAATTAAAGCTGAATAGAAATGTTAATAAAGATAATAAAAAGGCACATAATAAAATGACTAAAACTGCCATTTGCAACCTATTTTGCTTTCATAATATATTTTTTGGGTAAAATAGAATATCCATAATGTGTTAAAAAAGACTGTGTTTTCTAATACAATGATTAAAGGTGGGGTAAGCGATTTTTCAAAAACGCTTTAGAAAACTGATTCGGGCTGAATAGCAAAACAAACTTGTAGCCAATCAGCAGTAAAGGGCGTGTCTACTCATGATGTGGAGGAGAGAGCGGTCAGTGCACAAGACGGACATTAGCGAGCCGAGCGACAGAAAGATAGAGATGGCGGATAAAAAACAAAAGAGGAAAACGTCTGCAGAACAAACGAAGGCTTAAGGCAATAAGGCAAGACCCGTGTAAATATCGAATCAGCTTTCCAGCGCTGGAGAGAACTCAAGGAGCGGAAGACCTGCGATCGAACGCCGAGGTTGCTTTGTTTCTTCTCGATAG